AAAAAAAAAAAAAAAAAAAAAAAAAAAAAAAAGCCCCAAATTTCCTTCGTCATGAAAATTAGTACAGCTGAAGATTTCAGTCTCTAGATCAAATAATAAAAAAAAAGGCAACTGCATCACGCTGATGTTCCTAATGTTGCAGACTACAGCAAACTCTATTTCCGGACTGTTTAATAATGCTCTTGGAAACAACCCTAGAAATTAGGCATTCTTATCATCCGTAAATAGCCCTCAAAATTTGACCATCTCCTTCATCATTAGCATTTCTATTGTTTTGTTCTCTAAAATTCTCTCCTCCCTCGAGTCAGCTAATGAGGAAAATAGCATGCCTTGCTAATAAAAGTCAGCAATCAACGGAAACAAAAGCAGCTATACTTAAGTATGATATTTATATCCTCAATTATACAGGTTTTGCTACCCCTTAGTACTCATTAATCACATTGATATTGTCAATTATTCAAAAGAAAAGAAGGGAGAAAACGGCATTCAAGGGAAGGTCTTAATTCATGCCCATTTCAACATCAACTTACCATGAGCATTTCCATCCTTAAACTACTGCTTTAAGGGCTCCTGTTCTGATAATTTATATGTCTGTTAACAGGGGGGAAAATTTTCCAAGCTACACCAAAGAAGTTGCAAGGCACGACATGGCTACCCCTCAATGCTCAACTGCTCATTGATCAGATGATTTATATATTCCTCACTTTATTCATGTTTTGCTATCCTCAGTGCTCAATAATCACAATGAGAGCCATGAGCTTTCATAGGGCATGAAAGAAGTGAATGAAAGGTGAATGCCCGTCTTCGTATACCTGTCTTTCAATTGCACACCCCGCAAGGGACAGGATTGGGACCTCAATTTCCAAACAAGAGAACTAACTTAAGGTCCACGAAATAGCAAGTTCATACAGTCAAATAAGAGAACCTAGTTCTGACAAAAAGAGAGATACATATGCGCCAAATATATAACAAAGAAAGATATTCGTCTTAAAGCCACATTCTTACCAGTAATACAGGCAACAAGAAGCGAGAGCTTCCGGAAAAATGTGTTCTCAGTCCCCTTGCAAGATTTCCAATTGCCTGGATGGCTTCAACTGCAACGGCAATATTTACATCTGTGATGAGCTGCAAAGTCACAAGACAACAGTCAATTTCTAGGGATAGACGGTGCATTACCGAATGTGCACTGTAAAAAAGATAAACAAGAGCTAATTAGCCGCCAATATAATGCCACAAGCATACACAGAAATACACAACCAAACCCAAAAAAAGAGAGTAATCAGCCCAGGAGCTAAAAAGTAAGAATATAAATTAGAAGAGAAAGAGAACTCCTCATGGTTCAAAACACCCATTGAACAGTTGGTAGCACCGCAATGAACAGCAATATGACAGACTGTAGGTGAACTGACACTAGCAAATAAAACACTGTTCACTATGCTCCTGCATAAGTTTCAATTCAGCTTCTTGATAAAAAAAACAGGCATTCATGAACATATAAAGCAAAATCTACAGAGCCCATGCTCATATGTACACAGCTAAAACCATTTAATCCTTGAAGGGATGAGAGATGAACATCAGAAATAAAGTAAAGGTACTCCTCCTAAGCTGGCAGACCAAGACCCAGTAGATCCATCTCATGGTTAGCACCACTGGTTGATTTGGCCTCCAATTATTGTTAACTTTTATCCTCTTTGAATTGAATTTTTCTTGAGACTATGATGATGCCGTATGATCCAAGAGCCACATAAGTATAAGCATCATTCTTATCATTCTATACTTTCCAATCAACAAAAATACTACTGATTAGACTCTGCATCGGCTGAAATATCAACTTCTTCAATCAAGGAGAATGAAATTACATACCTTCTTAAGTGTCCTGCAAATTTCTGCGAAATCACCAGGTGCAATTTTCTTGGTAGATGCAAGCTTAGTCAGCTCTGCAACAGCCTCTTTACGCTCTGACCACTTGGCTGCTTTCTACACAAAATCAGTTGAAAAACAAATCAATGAATGACTAAGTGCATCACACTCATAAAGAAATCCGTCACACCAGAAATAGGATGCAACAGAATTTTAGCCCAAAATATCTAACAGTTGAATGCAATAAAATGTACATGAAGCCTAAAAGAATAAAAGGAATAACTAACCACGCCTTCCCAAAATCCTGTCTTCTCCAGAGGGATCAAAATGTCAACAGGATCCACAAGGTCATACTCATCTATCTCCTGCGGAACTGAAAGAAGGTGTGTCAGGTGGGATAACTCAAACTACAAAGAAAATTTTTACATTGAGAAAAATAATTCAAACATTGAATTAGTGCCAATTAGTTTAAAATCCTTGGTTTTAATTAATATATACACTTAGTTTTCAAGTGACAACAGTACAATTTCCAGTGCATAAACAAGGAGTAAAACAGCAACTAAGCCAAACAAAATGGTGATACGGATTACTTCAAGGAAGAGGAGGCAGATAAATTGGGAGGAGACAAATCATCAACTGTTGCATTAAGATAAACGTTTTTCTTTTATATATTGAAAGATCTATTATGTCTTTCCCTCCATAAAATCCAAAATAACACAAAAGATTGGCATCCATAACTAACCACGCAACTAGTTTCATGTCACAGATATGACCTTTCATTCTCAATGTTTTAAATTCATGGGAGTTACTAATAGTAGTAGGTGAAGCAAAGTCGAACAGGCGGTTATGGAAGATCTAAGTTGCTCGGACTCTTCACTTACGATGCCACACCCATGTCGACACGGCATGGGTGTGGGATCCGTACCGGATCTGGTTAACCGATTTTGGGTACTTTGACCAAAATCGATGGAGAAATTCGGGACATATACAATGAATTTTTAAAATCAAAACAAAAGTTAGGGTGAAATTAAAGAAAATGAAATAACTTGTAAATAGAAATTTTTATGTCAGTCCTTTTTCCTTTTATCTCCTACTCGGATTCTCCTCTTGATCAATATTTTTTCCTTCTTAAAATACCTTTAAAGTTTTTCACACAATATCTCATAATTTAGATATATCTTTATAACTCTATTTAGCACCCAAGGGTGTGGCCTAATGGTCAATGAAGTGGGTGAAAACCATGAGGTCTCGGGTTCAAATCCCAGCGGAGGCAAAAACACTAGGTGATTTTTTCCATCTATCCAAGCTTGGGTGGATAGAGTTACCTGGTACCTATTGCTTGTGGAAGGTGACAGGCATCACGTGGAATTAGTCGAGGTGCACGCACGGTCATTTAAAAAAAAGCTCTATTTTTAGATATTTGAATTAGTTTTAGCCGAATCTCCGCACTCGTATCCATGCCTGGATCCGTACCCCCGAATCTTAAAATTTAGATCATGAAGGATCCGACCTCTAATTCCGCACCCGTATCGGACACCCGCACCCAAGTTCGAGCAACTTAGTGGAAGATTGGCAGCAAAAGTAAGGCATCTTGGAGAAGAACACCAATATATTTGTCTTGTTTTGGCATAAAGGAATATGATAATGTTCCAGAATACTGAGAGTGAATTTTCTTTTCAAGTGTAAATAGAGAATTCATTTTGTGTAGACAACTGTGTTTGACGAGATATATTTTTGTGATTGAGCCACATACACAATTCTACATACTTCTGACACTACTCTTGTTGTGCTCATTATAACTTTTGACTTACCTAGAAAATAATGACTCAAATAGACTAGGATTCTTCAGTTAAGTTACATACCATCTGCAGCAGATTCTTCAGAAGGGCCAGCGGCAACTGCATCAGAAACCACTTCCAGCTCTGGCTCCTTGTCCTGCTCAGATCTGATAAAATAAAATAAAAAATAATGGTTAGAAAGAATGTTGCTAATCAATGTAATGTTAATCAGGCATGCAGACACAAATACGCATGAATAGGATGGTCCTGACAAGCAAATCATAAGGTGATCCTACACAGCAGCCCCAATTTTTAGAATGAAAATAGTCAATTAACATCAAATCGAAACAGTAAAACCAGTATGTTTCAACAGAATGTTGATTAAATATACTTGCAGGAAACAGTCAAGTCTGGTCACATTTTGACACAATTTTACTTTCTTTCTTCTTTTTTTTTTGCACGGTGGCCAACTTGCGGGCACCACGGCTAATCCACCTGCTACCACAATTTTAACATTCTTCCGCTTACTAACAAATATTGTACACTTATCAATACTGCAAGTCTCCTCTCTCACATAAACATGTATCCACAACCTATACAAGTACAGAATTCCAGAATATGCTGTACAAACAACCAGCAAGCCCACAAGTTGGATACAGCAATGGGTAGTTACTTTTAAAACAGTATCACCAATTTCTAGTACTAAATAACACATCATAACACAGACAGCTACAGTGAAGTAAAGAACAAGATACACATGCCTATATGAACTGTATATTTTTTATTCATTTTTGGGGTAAAGAGGCCACTCATCAATACTGCATGTTTTCTTTCACATATAAACATAAAGTATTCATAGTTTATACACGTACAGAATTCCAGAATATGCTGGACAAACAACCAGCAAGCCCACAAGTTGGATACAGTAATGGATAGTTACTTTAGTACAGTGCCACCAATTTCTAGTACTAACACATCATAACACAGACAGCAAAAGTGAAGCAAAGAACAAGATATACACGTCTATATGAATTGTATATTTCTGTTTCACTTTTGGTGTAAAGAGGCCCTAGTAGAAGATGTAGATTCAGTAATTGACATCATTGGAGCATTGTAACTATTACAGGACTAGGTTTTACTTTTTGGGCTTCTGTATTTTGTTCTCTTCTTGTGCCGAGGGTATATCGGAAACAGCCTCTCTACCGGGTAAGGTCTGTGTACACTCTACCCTCCCCATACCACACTTGTAGGATTTTCACTGGGTTTGTTGTTGTTGTATTTTGTTTCTCTTAGCTTAGTCTTTGTGCTAAGGGCTTCTCTTTTGAAAATTTATATAAAATATGTTACCTTCTTCAAAAAAAAAAAATATACACGTCTATATAATTCCAAAAGGCAGGTTACTCACAATATTTACATGGAAAACAAGAAAACCTATCATATCTCCTTAGAGCCCTAACAAGTAATTTGGAATCTGCAATTATCCACATAATCCTCAGACCTCAACCTAAACCTACACAAACCCTTCCATCAAACTCCACCGGATTTCTCAATTTCTCAGAATCTTACTTCTATCCTCTCCATCTGCAATGCCTTCCCAACCTTCCATGCATCATAACCTATCGCATTTTCTCAAATAACCCATACCATGCAGTAGCCACAATTTGGGAAACATTACAAGAAGAATATAGCATTTTCAACTTCAGCAAAGTCAACTTCCAGTGCAACTTGCAATTAGACACCAAATACAGCCAAGATTATCCACCAGATACATCAAGCTCCCACTAAACACAACAAACATCACATGGCAAAAAACAACCATCAAACTACAATATGTCACAAAGAATCACCCCCAATCAGCTTCCAAATTGCCGGGTAACAACCAGCCAAAAAAGACGAGTTATAGCTCTGACAAATTTTAGCTATTAATCAGCTATGCATTCAGTATTTGTACTAATGGTATAAAATAATAAAATGTCGAATAGAGATCATCATGGATATCCACCAATAGACTGTTTGAATAAGGTAATTTATTTTGAAGCACCTGTCACTAACTAATTCTTACATACATGCATCTTTTCAAAAAATAAAATGAGAGCTTATGTACCTTATGTTCTACTTCTTTGCTATTAACAGAGCTTTCCTGGATTTTTTAATGTTGCTGCATTACGCACCCCTGCTATAGGGGGTCACAAGTAAATAATTCAAGGTGGGTTTCCAAGACATTTCCTTCCCAACCACCTGCTACGTGCGAAGACTTGAGCTTAGCTCCTTCAAGGTCTTTATTTTAACAAATCATATAGTCAAACGCAAACTGTCTCTTTATCAAGTGCCTATCACCTAATTGAATGGAACGAGAGCTTATGTATCTTAAGTTTAATTTGTGTGCTCTTAGTAGAGCTTTTATGCTTTTCTTGTTGCTGAGATATGCAGCCCTACAAAAGGGGGTCAACAACAACATACCCAGAAGTGGGGTCTGGAGAGGGTAGAGATTATGCAGTCTTACCCCTGTAGAGAGGTTGTTTCCAATAAACCTCTATTATAGGGGGCCATTCCAAGATAACTCAAAGTGGGATTCCTACGTGGTCCCTTCTAACTCACTTGTTAAACACGCAACATGTGTTTACATGCTAATTGAACTCTCAATGCAGCATCCAATCACACAACAAATATAGCCCAGAGCAGCAGAGTCATCAAGCTCCCACCAAACACAAGAAATATCACAAGACAATAAACAACCATCAAACTACAATAATTCACAAGTATCACCCTTAGCTTCCGCCAACTAGTCAGCTAACAACCAGCAAAAGAAAAGCTTAATTATATCATTGACAAATTTCAGCTACAGATCAGCTATGCAGTCATTTGTACACCACCACCAACAACAACAACAACAAAAAAAAAAAAACAATGTAGTCCCATAAATGGGGTCTGGGGAGGGTAGTGTGTACGCAAACCTTACCCCTACCTTATATAAGGTAGAGAGGCTGTTTCTGATAGACAGTCATTTGCACACCAATGTTATAAATAAGTAAAATGTCAACAAAAGATCATCAATCCACCTATTGACTGTTGGAATTCGGTAATCTATTTTCAAGCATTTGTTAGTGACTAATTTTTACATACATGTATTCTTTTTAGAAAATAAAATGGCAGCTGGTAGCTTAAATTCTATTTGCATGCTCTTAATTGATTTTTCATGCCTTTTTTTCTTGTTTCTACATTACGCAGCCCTTACAGTAGAGGGTCATTCTTAGATAACTCAAGGTGGGAACTAGAAAGCTTCTTCTAATTCACCTGCCATGGTAAAAATCATGAGGAGACTTGAGCAAGTAGCTCCTGCAAGGTCAATCTTTAACAAATCATATGGTTAGGTGCAATCTCTCTTTATCAATGCCTGTCACCTAATTAATTTACCTTTGCCTTCAAAAATAGATGATCAGTAGAATGAGAACTGTGAATCTAAAGTTCTATTTGTGTGCTCTTAATAGAGCTTCTTTATCAAGGACCTGTGACTTGATTCCTCAAAAATAGATGACTAACCCAAGCCTCCATCCCACACAATCAGAGAAATGAAACAGAAGAACCACAACAATCAGCACATTTAACACACCTTTCCAGCTAAAATTTGGATAAACAGCTACAGAATAAGAAAAAAGAAAAACTAAAAAAATTGTCCAACTACAGAAAATACCTTATTTTACGTGTTGGCTTAGCAGTCCCCGTAACATTGACAAGCTCAGCTTCCAATTCTTTTTTCTTAAGAAGAAAAAAGAAAGAGAAAAATTTAAGGAGAAGTTTCATCCAACACACCATAAAAACACCAGAAATTTTCTAGAACAGCAGTATACCATTGTATCACGCATTTTCTCAAACAATATAGATTTCACTGTCTCTTTTGAAATCCAGCGGCAGAGTTCCAGTGTCAGCCCCTTGGATGAAGCACGAACATTCTGATCTTGATGGTCAAACAGTTCAGGGAGCATCTTCAAGATTCTTTTTGGTGGAATAATCTTTGCTCCAAATTCACTATTCATATTGGTGAAGCGTCATAATCCTCCCAGGAACTAAGAAAACTAAGCTAACATGAGAAGACAGATATTCACAAACCTCAAAGCCTGAAACATGACATCGATCGCAGGAACCACAGCTTTGGCAACTTTATTTTTAATTGCTTTCTCCATAGCATCCTAAAACATAAACTATATTAATGAGAAAGGCAACTAATAAAACGTATAGCTGGAGGAAGCAAGGAACGAAAATGAAAAACTGCAGATAAAGAACGCAAAATATAATATTTTTGCTACATGTTCAGACCCGAAAGATAACGTACGCTGGAAGGGCAAGAAGAACGGCACATTTCTGTTAAATCATGCTACGACTCTTACTTGACACACAAAATACAACATCACAGTGACCTAGGAAACAAATTTGGCAAAGTGTTGCCCCTTATAAAGTTCAGTCTCACTTGCCTAGTGGCTAAAAATGCATGTCTAACACAGTCTAATCTTCAAAAAAGAGGTCTGAAAATTTGCAGCAGATGCCCAAGAGCAAGCAGAGGATACAAATCACCTGTTAATGCACAGCTGTGGGATATGTTTTTTAGCATTTTGGGCCTGAAGAGGTCTAAAAGTACATTATACACCTATGACCTATCACTAACAACAGAAACCGTAATCTTAGTACATATAAAACAGAGTTATAGCAATTATAAATTTCTTATTTCAAAATTAACATGTCTTCTTATTTATTTATCATGACTTTTCTACAAAAGAAATATTTAATCATTGCTTTTGCCTACAGAATTATAGATTCAAAAAATTTGGCCACTATCATATGTAGTAAATTTGAAGCACAGACACTCCCCGTACTAGTAAAGTTCTGGTCTTGGATTCCAAGTGTCAATCATCTTTTAACCCTCTACATGCAACTCTAAAGGATTTAATATCAGAAAGAAAAAAAATGAATTTTACACAAAATGATAAGATTCAACAATCTTTAGCAAAACAGCCTCATTCATGTTGCATGAATGAAACAATAACAAAAATTTTACAAGAGGAAAAATAAAAGGCAGCTACTGAAAGAATTTTTAATGACCAAAAATTTTAATTCCACACTCTTTGCTGTTTTACTTCCACTACTTCAACTCAATTACACCGAGCAGTTAGCAAAAGCTCAGAAGAGCCTAAACGTTGTTCGATTTAAACAAGAGTAACTATCAAGTACATTATAAGGAATTCAGAAATGCATAAAATTGTTGAGTTTAGCACATACCAAAAATGCCTCGACAGCCTCCAACTCTATCCAAAGCAAAAAAACCATCTGTGCCTTCTCCACTGTCTTTGGCCTGCCCGTCAAGCATTTAACTACTACTGCGTCACATACTTCTTTCGCATATCTACTCATCATCCAAAAGCACACCAAATTAAACTAACCAACGCAACTAAAATTAAATAAAATTATAATTAAATAATAAGTAAAGCTTTACCTCCCAGCATCAGCATCGGCAGCTTTCAAGTAACAAATCAAAGCATCAAGAGCCTTCTCCTGAACTGGCGCATTGGAATCCGCTACTGTCTTCCTAAATAATGGACCTATAAATATACACACACAAAAATTCAAAAACATAAAAGCTATCAATAAATATGCAATCACATTACATAAACAAAACATACAGATCGCCGTAAATCAATCGCAAGCAAAGCAAATGAAACCAGATCTAACGGAATCGAAACCCTAAGTGAAGTAAGCACTGACCGAATTCACGTAGGCGAGGGTCCTTGGGATCAGTAATGGAGTCGCAGACGGCGGCGAGGTCAATGTTAGCGTCATTTCGGACCTTCCAATTTTTGTGCGCAAATCGCTCGTCCCACGGCAATTTCTTTGCCTCTTTCAACAACTTCTCATCTTCCGACATTGTAACCTATATATCTATGTATATATACAGAAGGTTTTCGAAAAATGTATATGAACTTCTCGATGTTTAGATTGATCGGAAAAGCGCCCGGAGGAAGAGGAAGCGGTTGTAGTGTGCTTTAGTTTTTGCTTCTTTATTTGTCCTTTAGGTCTCAGCCGAGTGCCGGCGAGTTTTTGGGAAAAATGGGTTGAAATCGAGTGCGATAATACGTTTTATCTTTCTCGTTTCAAAAAACACACAGAGTGTGGGTAAGAGAGGAGAGAGAGGGGGGACGGGGCTAATTTATGTTTTACGCTTCAACGGAAAGAAGTACCACCCTCGGAGGAAGGAGCGTGAATATAGTAGGCAAGTTACATTTTACTGATTTACATTTATATTATGTTAATTACTTGTTTGAATATTGAATTCAAATACCATTTTCTTTTATAATCGTAATGTCCTAGTGAGTACTTGCAAGTTGCTACCTCAATCACACTTATCAAGTAATTTTATCGGTTAAAGCTTGAATATATTGAGAAATCACTAAGAGCTCCTTTGGACATAAGAATTTTTTCACTTTTTTTTGAAATCAGTGTTTGGTCATAAAATTTTTAATTTTTATTTGAAGATGGATTTTGAAGTTTTTCGAAAATTTAAAAAACTTCAAAAAACTGTTTTTCAAAATTTTCACTCAGATTACGTACAAAACTTAAAGAACAACCCAAAATTATATTCATAACCAAACACAACTCTAATTTTCAAATACCATTTTCACTTGAAAAAATTTACTTTTTCTTTTGAAATTTTACAATTCTTATGTCCAAACGCCCACTTAGTATTTTACCTTAGATTTGAACTAAGAGCTCATGATTCTCGACACACTTTATGGATCACTTGTCACATTGCTTCAAATATCAATATATTTTGATTCAACAACAATAACACATATAACAGTGTGTCTCACAAGTGGGTTATATGAGGGTGGGATATATGTAAACCGTACTCTTACCTTATGTAGGTAGGTAGAGAGATCGTTTCTGGTAGACCATCTGCCTAAGAAAAGTGTTTTCATGACATATTTGAATCAATATATTTTTATTAAATTTTAAATTGGTGTTTCAACTAAATTTTACCTAATAATAAGTTGTATTTTTCTTTTCCCGAACTATACGTAATTACGAAATGCTTTCTGCGCTGAATTATTTTTTTTTAAGTTTGTCGAAACAAAATCTTAAATTAAATATTAATTTTTAATTTAAGTAATAATATTTATAACATTATACAATTGTTGAGATTCTCAGTTAAATGAACAAATGTTGTGTCATAATTTAAATTAAATGAAGGTGTATGGTCAAATTTTTTAAAAAATTAAATAAAACAATCGAAAGGTGTAGTTTGTACAAATAGTCAAAAGTTTAAATATAAGGATTTTGATTCAAATTCAAACGAATACAATAAGAGGCGCGTGGGTGATTAAGCTAATATTTGTTGTGGTTGAGCGGTGTATTTTGAAGAGGGGTTGTGGTGGGACCCAAAAAAATAGTACTTGTAAAAAAGTTGGAATTCAAATTGAGGAGCAGTTTATTAATCGGGGATGTGTTCCGTTGAAAGGAACGTCATGGTACGCATTTACAACATATTTATGGACCGTCCGATGACAACACTTTGTAAGGTCTTATTTTAAAATTGTAATCGAACGGCTAAAAATCCGATTAGCGAGTGGGAATACCTTGCCATGACTGTAGAAAGTTTGTGATTAAGTGGCTAATTCTTATTTACTATAAGGTTTAGAACGGCTATTTTACTGTTAATGATGGTGGGGGCAAATATTCCCTGCTCGATACCATACGCAAAAGCACCTGTTCTCTCGTATTGGTTCCTTGAGAAGTCATTTTTGGATTACTTTTCCGTTCCGTATTTTTTTAATTTCATTGTACCTTCATATTCCATTCTTTATAGTATTAAGTTATTAATAACTATTCAGTTGTAGATATAATTTTAATCCAGATTGTGACAACAGGTGTAGCCAAAGTTTCCCTCATGAGCTCACTTTGGAGTCTTTTGGGAAATAATTTGTTTCGGTGCCTTCTTGTTTTGGATTTTTATATAAATAGTAGGTCTGATTACTTATTTATTTTTTTAGCTAATAATAATAATAATATATATATATATAGATTATATATTAATTGTACACGATTATAGATTTATTATAAATAAACAAGTATTAATACCCGTGCAATGCGCGGACAAATTATTTCAAATTGCGATGTAGGTTGTTTGAATCATGTACAAATAACCTTAAAATATAAGCCTCTCAGACAAAAAATATATAACATGAGAATTTAATTATGAAGAAGGATATGAAATTATTGTTCAAATCTCATAGTAGACAACCAATCTTTTTAATATATATTTGTAGCAACCTAACCCCTTGATTTTAGTACTTGCATTTCGTTCCGCTGTCGATATTAAAGAATACTAAATATGTCATATTGTGATATGTCTTGTTCGAGCACATTAGATCATATTATTTTAACAAAAATCTTACTATCACTTTATTTTTATCTGGGAGTCAAATGTATCTTATTCATCACATCAATTATACGTAAATTATTTTTTTGTTCTTTTCTTATAGTTATTGTATTATCTAATATTTAATATTATTATACTATCATATAATTTTCTATTAGCTTATAATTAAATTAATGTCTTGCTTATTATCCTTCTAATAGTATTTAATAAAAATAAATATTTTATTCTTGAAATTTGATATTTTTTTATGTTTTTATACTCTTATTCATAATATTTTAATCATTTAAATTTATCAGTAATATTTTTAAATTTAATTTAATTATTTTATTTGATCTATTTTTAAATTAATTTGAAGTATAAGTATCTCCACACGAACTCTATTTTTTTTATATACATTCTCTTTCCTACTATATATCACGACCCAAAATTCAATAAAGGTTGTGACGGCGCCGGACATGCTGTCAGGCTAGCCAACCATAAATACTTAATTTAGTCTTTGTTTTAGTATCTTGAAAAATATGATTTTTCTTCAATTTAACTAGTAGAAGATAATCTTTACAAAATAAGTAAAAATATTTACAATTTAATACTGAACACCCCATAATTATCCCAGAACCCAGTGTCACAAGTGCATGAGCAATTTCTAGGAATTTAAAATTTAATACAATAACTGTCCGGAATACAAATCGGACAAGAAAGAAAATACAATACTCTGAAGAAGACTCTGCTGGCTGCGGATCGTCTCGAGGGATGCAGCTCACCTAAGTCTCTGTATCAACCATGTCGATGCGCCCAACTAGACCACTAGACATACATGTACATGTGCAATAAAATGCATAGCAAGTGTAGTATGAGTACGAAAACAACGCGTACCCAGTAAGTATCCAATCTAATCTCGAAGAAGTAGTAACGAGAGGTCGACTTTGACACTTACTAGTGGTCCAATAATATAAAATACAGTAAAGAAGTGAATAAATATGAAGCAGAGTAAATACATGAAATAAATATGTATAAAATATGTGGCACAATTCCTTTCTTTACAATGTTTCTCAAGCTCTCAACTAGCAAGTTCCCTCCAAAACCGGAGCATATATACAAAGATATAGTGGATATCATCAAGAGGTTGTCATAAATCAAATCAGGAGAAAATTCAAAAATACACTGGCTTCTAGCCAAATATTACGCACAAATTCCATAAGAATGATGTATATATATAGGAAATGCCGAGGCATACGGTCCGATTCAATATAAAAGTAAACTATTCACTGCCAAGGGTCGAACGACGCAAATCATATATGCATCTATTAACCTACCGAGGCGAACGGCCCGCTCCCATGAGAGTGTGGTACATAAATCTTGCTGAGGCAAACGGCCCGATCCCATAAGAGTAGTAGAAGGAAATGCCCCGCTCATGAATCATACGTGCGACGCGGTCAAATATAATTTAAGGAATTTCCCCGCTCGCGAATCATACATGCGACGTGGTCAAATATAATTTATTAATAAATCAAAATCCTTTTTCTTGATTCTTTTCAAAATAAGGACAATTCACCGTGAAGCTTTTAAAGAGATTTTTTCCGCTCGTAAAATGCACATGCAACGCGGTTACACATAGATTTCTTAAGTCATTATAATATTTCTCAATTTTTTCGAAAATACGAAGTTCCACGGAAACCCTTAAAATTTTAAATTCTTCAATTCAAATTCCTTTCAACACATTTATTACGCAACCATAATCTTGTTTCTTCTCAAGACCACAATAAGATAAATTAACAACAATATCAACAAAGCATGATGTAAGCCTAAAACTACCTGGACATAGGCATAACTAGCAACTACGTACGGACTCTTATCACCTCATGTGTACGTAGCTCCCACAATTAGAGGCACATAATAATTTTGTTCAGCTATGGGGATAATTCCCTCTTACAAGGTTAGAAACGAGACCTACCTCGCTCCGAAGTTCCATAACCGACTTCCAAGCCCTTCCGACGACTCAAATCGATGCACAACGCTCCAAAACTAGCCAGTAAATGAGAAAATCCACAAATATATGATCTATTACCCATAACAATTCAATTTAGATAAATTCCTAACTCCGCTCAAAAAGTTGACAAAATCGCCCTCGGTTCCACGTGCCCGGATTCCGAAATTTTTCGAAGATAAAGTCTACCCATAACCACACGAACTCAAATATACAATTTACTCCCAATTTTGTACCCAAAATCGTGGTCAAAATCCAAGAATACCAAATTTCTAGTTTTTTTTTTCAAAACCCCAATTTTTACTAATTTCCCATAATTTTCTATATTAAAATCTAGATATAATATAAGTAATTAACTTGCAATAAGTGGGAATCACTTACCTTGACATGGATGATGAAAATGGAGCTCCAAAATCGCTACTAGGTCGGCTCCCATGGAGAAAATGAGATGAAATGAGCCAAACCCATTTATTTACACTTATACACTGCCCAGACGACTCTTCTTCGCGTTCGCGAGACCCCCATCACATTCGCAAAGAAGAAAATTCCCAAAAACCATTTTCCAAACTCTACTCAGACAACCTCTAGTATAATGGCCGTAATATTTCTTACAGAACTCCAAATGAAAAATGGTTTAATGTTTTGAAAACTAGACACCAATATCTACAACTTTTATGTTTTGGTCATCTCCCAATTCCTTATAGATTTTGAGATAAAAGCTTCCAAATTCCGCCCTGTGTAACACAAATTTTTTCTTTATCTTCCCGGATAGCCTGTAGTATACCAGCCATAACTTTTTGT